GTCGAGCCAGGGCGCCAGGACGGCGGCCTCCAGCGTCGAGGAGCCCGGCCCGCCGCCGCCGCCGCCGGCCGCGGCGGCCGCGACGACAGAGCGCAGGCCGCGCAGGCACAGCGTGCTCAGCGCCTCCTGGGCCGAGGGCGGCAGGTCTGCGGGGCGGCGCAGCGCGCCCAGCACGCGCGTCTGCAGCAGGGCCACCGCCGCGGCTACGCGCGCCGACCGGCAGCGCAGTGGGTCGGCCAGCGTGGGCTCCCGGCACAGCGCGCCCAGCGTGGGCGCCAAAAAGGTCGCGCCGGCCGGCACGGGGGCCCTGCCGTTCGCCGGTGGGGCGGGCCCCTGGCGCTCGTCCTCCTCGCGGAGCAGGAGGGGCAGCAGCGCCTCGGCAGCCGCGGCACGCCACGTCAGCTCCGCCACCGCCGCCGCCTCCTGGGCCTGCGACTGCCGCTGTGGGATTCGAGGTGGAAAGGGGGAGGTGAAAGGACGGACGTGAGTGTGCCTGCAGCATGGAGCTGGATTCCAGTGCGCCGTGTGGGTATCCACCCAAACAAAGCCGAATACCCTCGAGCGCTGCAGCATGGGCAGCCGCGGTCTCCGGCTCCCCATTCAAACTCACCCCGCCCCCCGCCATCAGCTCCACCAGCGCGTCGGCGGCCTGCGTGTCCAGGGCCGGCGCCCACAGCATGATGTCTGGCCTCGCCAGCGTCCCCAACGCGCCCAGCATGATGTACGCCGCCTCCCTCTCGCAGCACTGCGCGGGGCCCTGTGCCGGGCAGGGGCCGGACGTGGGTCGGGTGATGTTTGGGTATTGCGTGGAGGTAAGAAGGGGAATATTGTGGGGGAAGTAAACGTTGACGGTATGGACCGTGGTTCTGGACATGGGAAAAAGGTTGTGCCAAAAGAGCACAAAGCGCCGGGACACGAGAGTTAGCATTTCCAAGGCACCACACGGGGCCAGCCTCCCGCGGTGGGCCACCCCAGCCTGAAAAGGTCCAAACCAGGGTCGTTATCCCTCCCCATTCCCAGCTCTCCACCCGCACCCTCCCCCGAGGCACTCGCTCACTCACAGCGGGGCAGCGGGGAAAGAGCGCGAGCTCGTGCGCCAGATCGGCGACTTCCCGCGCCAACTCGCCCGGCAGGCCCATGGCGAGGCGCGTGGATGCCGCCAGCAGGGCCGCGCAGCCCAGCGCCGCGCCGTGCAGGCGGCAGTCCGGTCCCTCCGACCGCACCGCGCCGCCCGCAGCCGCCAGCGCGTCCCTGGCGGCGCGCGCCTCCGTCAGCGCGCCGCGCAGCAGCCCCGCGGCCGCCCCGGGCTCCGCGACGGCCAGCGCGGCCAGCGCGCGTGCGGCCTGCACGCGCGCACCCTGTGCCGGCCAGCCCAGGCATGCGAGCAGGGCCGGGCTGAGTGCGGCCAGCGTCTCCGCCCCCGCCTCGCCCAGGAGCTCGATGACCAGCGCCACGCTTTCCAGCAGCACCACGGCGACGGGGACGAGGTGCAGGCCGGACGGCGCCGGCGGGGCGGGGGCCTCCGTCTGCGTCGTGCCGCCGTCGCCGCTACTACCCTCTCCTCCCCCTCCTCCGACCAGCAGCGCCGTCAGGCGGCGCAGCAGGCTGCGCCGGCCTGGCTCTGCCAGGCGCTCGATGGCGGCCGATCGCAGCACGCGCAGCGTGCACGCCTGCAGGTGCGGCCGCTCGCCGGAGGCGGCCGCCGCGCCCAGGTCGGGTGCGCCGGGGAAGGGCCCCGGCTCGGGCGGCGCGCCGGGCGTGCAGGCGTCGCGCAGCGCGGTCAGAAGCAGGACCGAGCGCCGCACGCGCTCCTCGTCCGCCTCCCTCTCCTGCCCGTCTCCCCCGCCCGCGCCGCCCAGGTACCGGCCCCAGGCCTGCAGGCAGGCGCCCACCTGGGCGCGGCCACCGCCGGCCACCGCCTGGGCCAGCGGCACGGCGAGGCAGGCCGCCGGCGCGGCCGCCAGCACGGCGGCCAGCGCCGTGCGGGCTTTGGGCTTGGGCGCCAGCGCTTCCACCGCGGCGTGCGCCTCCGTCGACCCCGCCGCGCACGCCAGGTCGCCCAGCAGGCCCGCCCAGGCGCGGCGCACGCGGGGCTCGGCCTCGGCGGCCAGCGCGGCCAGCGAGGCGGCGCGCGTGGCCTCCAGCCCCGTGCCGCCCGAGGCCCACAGCGCCTCGCCGCCCGCGCCCGCCACGGCGCGCAGCACGCCGACGGCGGCGAGGCGCACGCCCGCACCTGCCTCAGTGTCGCGCGCCGCGCGCTCCGCCAGGCGCGCCGCCTCGGCCTGCGTGCGGGCCGCGTGGCGGTGGCCGCCGCCCACGCCACGCACCGCGGCGGCCGTCAGGCGCAGCGCCGCGCGGCGCACGCCGGGGTCGAGCCCGCGGCCCGCGTACCGCGCCGCCAGGGCCACCGTGTCCCTGCACGCCGATGGACACGGAGGCCGC